ACACACACACACACACACACACACACACACACACACACACACACACACACACACACACACACACACACACGCAAGAGAGGGTGTTGCGCACCGATGAGGAGCTCCATGATCTGGTGGAAACCGCATTGCGCAGCGAGATGCAGCGGTGTCTGCGCCTTGTCATCCTCGTCAGCCACCAGCTGCACTTTCTTCAGCAGCAGCAGCTGTTGTGCCGGTTCGGGTATGCAAGAGGGACAAAGAAGGGGGGGGGGTGATGTGCATTGGGGTCGGTTGGAGTGGGGCGGAGTGGAACGTTGGAGCAAGTGCACAAATAAGCACACACTGTGATGACGACCATGTACAGACACTTGCACCCAGACACACACACAGGCAGGTGGACAGACACAGACACAGGCACGGACGCAGGCACTTGTACTCAGAAGGACAGACACAGACACGCACAGATATACACACAAACCACTCACACACACACACACACGTGGCGCACCTTGACGATTTGATATCGGCCGTTCTTGACGGCAAGATGAAGCGGCGTCTGGTCAGAGTCGTCCACAACATCGAGCTGACACCCTACGCAGCGGCGATGGCGGACATGGGACAAGATAGGGCGTGTGAGGGCTTGACGTTGGATGTACAGCGGTCTGCCGTCTGTTGTTGTTGCACGCACACACACACTCAGACAGACAGACACACACAGACAGACACACACAGACAGACACACGTGTGTGTGTGCACAGGGCACACGTGCGCACATATGAGGCGATTGGGCGCGGTGTTACAGACCGGAGTCGACGAGGAGGCGGGCGATGGATTTGTGGCCGAGGGCGCATGCAATGTGCAGCGGGCGCGTGTCGTATTTGTCAGCGGCCTCAAGCAGCGCTGTCGTCCCGCCCAGCTGCAGAGGTGGTGGTGGTGGTGGTGGTGTGAGTGATGTGAGTGATGTGGGTGGTGCGAGTGATGTGAGTGATGTGAGTGATGTGGGTGGTGAGTGGGGATGTGGTTGAATGTCACGACATGAGAGCGATTGCATGTCACGAATCGCTTCGCACCACAAACGTGAATGTACATGTGTAATGTGTGTGTGTACGTGTGTGTGTGTGTGTACGTGTGCACGTGTGTAACGTGTGTGTGTACGTGTGTGTGTGTATGTGTGCGTGTGCCGTGTTCACACGTACGGAAAGGGTGTCGCTTTCGTCGTCATCGCCCTCCTCGTCCCCGTCCTCTGTGCTCTCGGCGAGCGGATTCACAGACGGCCGCGCCTGACCAACGTGGAACACGCAGTGTGACCACGCACGCGTGGGAGTGGGGTTGGTTGTTTGAACAGGCAGTGCAATGCACAAAAGGCTGCAAGCACACACACACACACACACACACACACACACACACCATCTCCCACTCACGCACGACACCTACAGGGCGACGACACGGGTCCACACAATGGTCACATGTGCGCGCGCGCGCGTGTGTGTATGTATGTGTGTGTGTGTGCGTACCGAAACTGCTCTGCAACGGTCAATGAGCACTTTTGTGACGTCGTAGTGGTCGCCCTCAACGGCGAGATGCAGCGGCGTCTTGCCAACCTGGTCACGCCATGCAACGCAAGGTGGTGACAACAGTGGTGGCAGTGGTGGAAGAGAACGTGAAGGGAGTAGAAGACAAGAGGAAGCGGACGACGTGAGCGCGCCACACACTTTTGCACGTGTCTTTCAACACCCTCCCCAACACACACACACACACACACACACACACACACACACACACACACACACACACACAAGGCCGCCTCGCTGTGTGCACCTTGTCCTTCATCATTGGGTTGGCGCCGAGGTCGAGGAGGAGGTTGACGGTGTCGACGTGTCCGTGCGAGGCAGCGAGGGCCAGCGGGCGGTGGCCCTGGCGCGTCTGCGCCTCAAGAAACCGCTCCCTATCGCAAATAAGCAGAGCCGTGATGGTGGTATGGTGATGGTGATGGTGATGGTGATGGGGGATGAATGTTGACGTGTAGGTGTACACAAACGAACAAAGGTGAACGCATAAACACGCGCACACACCCGCCCAAACACGCGCAAACACGCGCACACAGAGCCCCATCTGCCCTGTAGCGTACTTTGCGATTTTGTCCTGGAAGAGGTATTCGAGGACGGCTGTGCGGCCGTACCCGGCAGCGCGGTGGATGGCCAGCTGCCCCTTCACGTCCCGCACAGACCTGACACAGTCAACATCACCACCACCAGCAGCATCATAACGGTGTGGTGGTCGCATTGTAGGTGTGTGCGGATACGTGAGTGTGTTTGGCACCGGTGAGCCAAAGCTATGGGACACTTCCAACTCCTCTCACTCACACACACACGCACACAAACACACTCACACACTCACACACACACACACACACACAAACACACTCACACACACACACTCTCTCACACACACTCACACACACACACACTGTCTCTCCCTCTCTCTTTTCACACCCATCCACCCAGCCGGTACATGCATGGCGCCGTAGCTGCAAACGCTGCTGCAGGACGTACGTGCGAGCGCCCTGGCTGACGAGGAGTTGGACGACGTCAAGGTGGCCGTGGCGGGCAGCGGTGTGCAGCGGTGTGCGCCGGGAGTTGTGTGTCTTGACGTTGGGGTCGGCGTTGTGTTGCAGCAGCAGCAGTACTGTGTCCTTGCTGCCAGAGTACATGGCAGCGTGCAACGGCTGCAGCCCGCGGTTGTCCTGGTGGTGGTGGTGGTGGTGGCGGTGGCATGGTGTGTAAGCTGCCGCGCAAGTTGTCGTGGTCGTCGTCGGCAAGAGGGCGCTTGAGCGTCGCGACATGTGTGCATCTCAGACGAACACGTATGTTCTCTGACAAGTTGCGGCCAAGACCAACACAAGGCAAGGCGGGGAGCGGGGGAACACGCAATCAAACAAAGCATGCATGCATGTGACGCACAGCAATGTTGACGATGTCTGTCGCTTCGCCTTCGGAGTTTTCTGCCTGTTGCAGGAGAAACTCAATCACATCCACGTGTCCCTCCATGCACGCATGGTGCAACTGGCCAGACAATAGAGATGGGGTGCGGTGAGCGGGCAACGGGAGTTGACCGTGTGGGTGTGGAGGAGTCCGTGAAAACGGTGTGTGAGTGTAGTTGAATGGGTGATTGTTTGAATGTTTCACTGGGCGTGCACGGTGTGTTGAGGTGCACTTGTGTGAAAGCCCGACGCCAAGTGTTTCTCAAACACCACCACAACCACTGCCACGACGCGCAACACTCCCACCACCACCACCATTCACCATTCACCATCACCATCACCACCACCACCATCATCATCATCATCATCATCATCATATCTACTGACCGGTGTCTCGCCCTCGCCGTCGCGTGCCAGGAGGTTTGCGCCATACTTCACCAGCAACTGCACAATCTGCATCGAGGACAGAGCAGCCGCGGTGGTGGTGGTGGTGGTGGTGGTGGTGGTGGTGACGATGACGATGATGATGGTGATGATGGGACGGGTTGGTGGTGATGCGATTAGAGTCGATGGAGCGCACGGGTGTCGATGATGAAGCAATAAATATGCGGATACATTTTAAAATCAACACACACACACACACGCACGCACGCACGCACACACGCACGCACACACGGTAAACGCACCTCGAGCCTGCCCTCTTGGGCTGCGTTGTGCAGGGGCGTGGCGTTTGCCTTGTCTGTGACATTTGGTTCGCAGTTTCGCTGCAGCAGCACTTCCAGGCACGAAGGGTCACTGCGCTGGCTTGCGTAATGCAGCGGCGTCTGCCCATATTCGTCATCAATCTCAGCAACACTCGTGTCCTCCGGCAAGTACGTCAGGAACGTCTGCACGCGTGTGTGCGCGTGTGTGCATGAACAAACGGTTGAAATGTGAAGGTTGCGTGCGCGTGCTGGTGCGTGTGGGCGAGGAAAAGGGGGTGGGGTGTACATGTGGATCGAGGGATCAGCACTCCAGACGCCACACGTTACAACACCGCCTTTGCAGCCCCTATTTTGCCCCTCGTGCACATCACATCAACGTCACTATCCATATCCATGCACGTGGCGTTGTACCTGCAGCGTCGGCGGGGATGCGTACTTGGCAGTGAGGTGGAGGGGCGTGATGCCATCCTCGCCTTGCACCTGCACACGCATACGCGGGTGGGGTGTTGGTGGTTGGTGTATGGTGAGGATTGGTGGTGATGAAGGGCTTGAGCATGGCACGCTCACAGACATCCATGCGAACTTGTAAACAGGACGTGCACACACACACGCACACACAACGACAGACAGACACGCAGACGCACATACACAACGACAGACGCACACACACACATACACAGACACGATGGCATGTGCTGCGCCAAACGTACGAGTGGTTGAGCACCGCGCGAAAGCAGCTTCTGCATGACATCCACGCAGTTGTTCCTGTTGCGTCGGGACCAGCAGCGTACGCGATCGAACGCGCAGGCGAAGGAAGGGGGAGTTGCGTGAGCACATGCAGACAGACACTTCACAGACAGTTCGCACGTTCGCGTTTCCAAGACAGCTCGCGCAATTCACCAACGAACGTCACGAGCACACGCACATGAACATGGGCACAATGTGTGGCTGACCTGCAGGCATAATGCAGGGCTGTCATGCCACTGTCATCTTGGTGGTCGATAAAGGGTACCGATGCACTGTTGGAGAATACGGGCGCAAGTGTGTGAGCAAGAACGCAGATGGTTCTTCGATGTGCAGCTCGCACACACACATACACATACGCACACACACAGACACACAGACACACAGACACACACAGACACACAGACACACACAGACACACAGAGCACTCCATCCACACAGGGACGTTGAGATAAACTGCTGCAGCGACTGGCACAGGCACCGTGACGCTCGCAGCAGCAACAAACCTGGCAGTGGTTCGGGAAGAGAGCTGTGATGACAGAGACACTCGCTCCTGCTGGGAGGCGAGAATCTGTTCCAGGATCTCAATGTCGCCTTCACGTGCAGCCTGCGTTGGAGATCGCACAGTGGACGGTCGGTGAGTGAGGCGTGCCACTGCGTCAGGCAGCGAGCCAACACACGAGTGAACAGGGGAACATGCGCGTGCGTGTGCGTGTGCGTGTGCGTGCGTGAGGTATTGCGGTTGTCGTGTGCGTGTGCAGTCTCACCTGATGCAGTGACTTGTTGGCCGCAATGCGCACGAGCTCCACGTCGGCCATGATGTCCTCTTCGGAGTGTTTGCGCGTATTGGGGGGGGGGATGAATACAAGTGCATACCGCGATCAGGGCTTCATGTACTTGTTTGTTCGTCCTTGCTACAAGTTGCGCCACACACACACACACACACACACACACACACACACACACACACACACACACACACACACACCTTCGTGAAGCTGGGTACTGGCTCGCTGTCTGACTTCGATGTGCCTCGGTGTGATCGCGCGCGAGTTCATCAACAACGTCGCCACTCCGCCTTCCTCTTCAACCTCTCAAACGTTTCTTCACTTGAAGAAGAGACCACCAACACATACACCGGTCTCGCTGTTTGTGTTTGTTTGTTGTTCGTCAAGGTCAAAGATGGCAAAGGCACAACAGGAACACAGCACACAAAAGTGGGCGGAGGCTCGGGCAGCAGCGTTGGCCGGGTTTTGCAAATTGTACATGATGTGCGCACAATTCGCAAACCGTCAAGGCGGTGCGATCGAATTCCTTCAAAGACTTCAATCACTTTTCTACACCTACTGTGAACTGAGGCAACCAAGATGATGATGCCGCGCCCTGTGCTGCTTCTTGCATCGGCTGTCCTGCTGCTGCTGCTCGCTCAGCAGCACGCAGCATGCGGTGAGTGAGTGTGAGAGGGAGTAATGAGAGAGAGAGAGAGAGTGAGTGAGAGAGTGTGTGTGTGAAGGAGTGTGTGTGTGTGTGTCTAAGTGTAGAATGCGTGTGCGAGCGTTGCCGCGCCCTTCGACCCTCATGCCCATCAACCTTGTTCTCATCACAGCGGAACGCGTCGTGCCCGCATACCTCAACGCCGTCGACGTGGAGTTTGAGTTTCGCCAGGTGCGTGTGTGTTTGTGCCAGTGCCAATTGTACATCACTGGATGGACATTGCCCACTGTGTTGCACCGTCCTCCACACGCACACACACACACACACATGCACACACACACACACACAGAGACACAGACACACAGACACACACACAGGACACAGACACACAGACAGACACACACACACGCACACACCCATCCACACACACACACACACACACACACGTGGCTACACTACACCACACACTGCGTCACTGACTGAGCTCTCACCACGTGCATTGGAACGTGTGCTGTTTTCCAACATTTTCCGGCTGTAGGAGAGCTGGAATGATGCCTTGACTGTGAGTGGGTCCATGCCCGAGGGCGTGAACGGCACAGTGCACCTGGGCCAGCTTCCCGTGCCCGAGAATGGCGACTGCAGCGCCCTTGGTCAACGAACCCCACTCTTGCAAATTGAGGGCGGACAGGCCACCCTCCTAGCCAATGACACGACCCTCTATGGCGCATACTCCATCATGGGCAGGTGTGGACATGAACGGCAGTTGCTGATGTTATTGTGTGCTCGTCCTGTTTTGCACTTGCCTTCACCATCACCTCACCCGCACGCCAACATGCCCTGCCGCTCCAATTGTCACTTGCAACCCCCCAACATGTCAGCTCCATTGTGTTTGTGGACGCCAATAACCTGACCATTGCCTGTGGTGACGTCGGCTTCCACGCGCCCACCATCGTGCAAGTGGCGGACTTTGGCCGCTTCTGCCAGCCAGGCTCTGACTACTGTGTCCTCGGCACCATCACCCTCATCCAGCCAATGGTGAGTGAGTGAGTGTGTGAGTGAGTGGGAGAGTGAGTGTGTGTGCGTGAGTGTGTGGGTGTGAGTGAGTGGGTGTGCGTCAGGTTGACATCCTCGTCCTCGTTCCCTCAATTGTTCAGCTGCTCACCAGCGCCTCATGATTGCCCGCTTGATCCCCCCCCCCCTGTGCTGCAGGTTGCCGATGATGTGATTGCTACCATGAACGACACGAGCGAGACCATTGTGCTCACAGACCTGTATTACCGCGCAACCGGCGCCGAGACCAGCATGGTGCGTGCACACAAGCACATGTCCTCGTGCACGCGTGTGTTGCGCGAGCTCACGTGCTTGGTGGGTTTGTCATGATGTGTTGAGCCACACATCCACACAGCTCATACAACCTTTGTATCGTGCGCTCGTGTGTGTGTGTGTGTGTGTGTGTGTGTGTGTGTGTGTGTGTGTGTGTGTGTGTGTGTGTGTGTGTGTGTGTGTGTGTAGGCCCACTTGTGGCATATCCACGAGAAGCCCGTGAACGAAACCACCTTTGCCTGTTCCTCTACTGAAGGTACGGCTGCCATGCACGAGCGCTGCTCCATGCACTTGCTCAACTCAATGTCGCACACCCATGCCAACGTGTCCTGCGTTTCATTTTGGTTGGCGGTTTTTGTCGTTCGCTGACGTCTTTGTTCATCTTCGTCTTCGCTTCCTGTCTCCCTTCCTGTCCTTTTTCTCATTGCTTGTCACCCCCTTCCACTTCCTTTGCTCCTTCACTTTCCCTTCCCCCGTCTCACGTCATCCCAAATTCGGCCACCCCATCTTGCGTTCCTGCGTCTGCACCCCCTTCCTTCATCCCCTTCCTGCACCCCTGCATCCACTCGCCTCTCATCCACGCTTCTGCTCGCCCGCCACTTTGTTCCCTGCAGGCCACTGGGATCCCTTTGACGTGTGCGTCTGGCTCGACAACTCCACCTGCGCCTGGCCATATCCCATGCTGTCAGTCACACCCGCCCTTGCTTGCGTGCGTGCATGTGTGTGTGTGTGTGTGCGTGCTGTTGATCACTTCCAAAGTTTGCCACTGACACCATTGCTATCACCACTGCTACCACCTGCAGCTGCTCGCCCTCCACTCCTCTCGACTGCGAAGTTGGCGACTTTGCCGGCAAGCACGGCGCCATCGGTGAGACGTTGCGCTATGTGTGTGTGTGCGTTTGTGTGCGTGTGTATGTGTGTGTGTGTGTGGTGACATGGATAGTGTGGGCTGATGTGCTTGACGCAGCGTTCTTTGGCGTGTGCACTGCCCATCACCCTCACCTTTGCTCTTCCCCGTGCCGCAACCACCATCACCCCATCAGACTTGCCACTTGAAACGCATCGCCACCGCCAGCGCTTTGTTGATGTGCAGCTGCCACTCTTTGGCCCCCTCTCCGTTGCAAACAGGTGCGAAGCATTGGTGGCCGCGGTGGTGTTTGTGTGGTGATGTGGTGATGCCGGTGCGTGTTTGTGTGTTTGTGTTTCTGTTGATGTTTTTGTTTTTGAGTTTGTTTTGTGCACACGAGCCAATCTTCCATCACCCCTTGCACCGCATTGGTGTCATTCATGCACCGATTCACACAATACCGCATGCACTGCTTGCGCGTGCACACACACACACACACACACCGTGTCCTGTGTGCATGTCCATTCTTCCATACTTTTACCTTGCAGGTCCATTGTGGTTCACGCAGCGGACGAGTCGCCCGCCCGCTTCGCCTGCGCTTCTCTCACAGACCGGTGAGGCCGTGCGTGTATGTGTGTGTGCGTGTGTGCGTCTGAATGCGTGTTTGCGTGTGTGTGCGTGTGCGTGTGCGTGTGCGTGTGCGTGTGCGTGCGCGTGCGTCTGTATGCGTGTACGTCTGTATGCGTGTTTGCATGTGTGCGTGCGTGTGCGTGTGTGCGTGACTATTAGTTTGTGCTTCAAACAGATGAGAAATGCAAGTAGATGGTGATTTATCCCCTTACACACCACGAACACCACCCACTCACCATTGTTGCAGCCCTGTGCCCCGCGTGCGTTCGCGGACGGTGACAGCGAGCCTGTGGGAGAACAACGCAGCAGCCCACCACACGGGCCACACGGGCCACACTGGCCACACTGGCCATAGCGGTCACGCACACGTCGTGTTTGCGCAGGTTGGTGACGAGTTGACCATTGAGGGCGACGTGAGTGCGTGGATTGACGGCAGCGGCGGCAGTGCGGAGATTGAGGTTGAGGTGCATGAGCTGCCGGTTCGCACCGACAACGGCACGGACTGCACCGACGTAGGCGCCATCTTCGGCCAAGGTGAGATAGACGCATGTATCGTGGATGCGTGTGTGCCTGCGTGTGCGTGTGTGCGTGCGTGTGCGTGTGTGTTTGTGTTTCGTGTGTGTTGGGCAGCAGCACTTGCCTGCTCGCTAATGTGTGAATCAAATCACCCCCAAAGTCACAGCTCACGCGCTATGCATCACCACACGTTGCACCGTGCCACCATCCACATCACCCATCCCCGTCTCTCTGGTCTCGTTTCAAACAGACGCCGGATCAATTGGCAGCATCGCTGCTGGCGACGATGGCACCATCACCGCCACCACCGACGCCCTCACGCTCTTTGGCAAGGACACCATCATGGGGAGGTGCGCGTCGACGTGCGCCGCGCTTGCTCGTGGGCTTGACAAGAATGGCGTGGCGTTGCTGAAGCTGCTGAGGGTGACATTGCATGCTCTCACCATCTGCTTTCTCTCTTTCTCTCACACGCGCGCGCACACACACACACACACACGCACACACACACACACAACGCATCAGGTCTGTTGTACTTCGCATCACGCAGGGCGGGGAGACGGCGGTTGTGTGCGGCAACATTGGCTTCCACGGCGCGACCACGGTGCAGGTCGCCCACTTTGGCGACGACTGCGAAACAGAGGCCGACGGCGCGTGCGTGCGCGGTTACATCCGTGTTGAGCAGCCCGTGGTGCGTTCTTGTGTTTGTGTTTGTGTTTGTGTTTGTGTTTGTGTTTGTGTTTGTGTTTGTGTTTGTGTTTGTGTTTGTGTTTGTGTTTGTGTTTGTATTTGTGTTTGTATTTGTGTTTGTGTGTGCAGAAAGTATGTGTGTGGTGCGTGCATGTGAGTGCGTGCGCGTGTGTTTGCATCTCTGTGCTATCCCGCTGCCACAGTAGTTCTTCAAAGCGCACGACACGACGGCTGCTCCTTCCTGCAATGCTGCGGTTGCTGATGTGTTGTGTCGCGTTGTGCTTGTTGCGTGGCCAGGTTGGCGGAGAGGTTGTTGCTGGCATGGGCGAGACGTCCGAGACCATCTTCATTGTTGACGTCTACCGCGATGGCCCCACCGCAAACGCCTCAACGGTCAGCACACACGCACACACGCACACACACACAACATGTCGCGGAGTTGAATGTTCGTGTGAGGTTGCGTGCTCGTGTGAGGTTGTGTTCATATGTGTTCATATGTGTTCATGTGTGTATGGTCGTTGGTTCAATTTGTGCATGTGTTTGTGTGTTCGTGTGCACTCATGGCCACGGTTGCGACTACCATCTTCTCCACGATCACCACCATCACTATCCCTTCAGGCGCACAACTGGCACGTGCACGAGGAGCGTGTGGACTCCCCCGGCGATTGCGCCAGCACAGCAGGTGCGACAACAGCCACGACAGCGGCGGTGGTGGTGGTGGTGGTGGTGGTGGTGGTGGTGGTGGTCATCACAGCGGCACGGCCTGTTTGCTATTTTGAAGCTGCGCGTGCGTGGTTGTGACACGTGCCATCTCTCCTGCACGGTGCACTCCAGGCCATTTTGACCCGTTTGCCGTGTGCTCCTGGGCCGGCACCCACTGCCGCGACCCATACCCGTTCCTGTACGTCAACACCTGTACTGTTCTGCTGTACTACTGCACTACTGCACTGCTGCACTCGTTTGACTTGATGTGCATGCCTGTGACTCCGCACACACTGACACACAAATGCACATGCATGCACGCACGCACATGCACACACCAATACCGCCATACACGTCACATTACATGTTCGCACAGCTGCACACCCGACACGCCACTCGCGTGCGAAGTTGGCGACCAGTCCAGCAAGCTTTCTCCAATCGGTGCGATGCGCGCTTGCACGTTCCACCAATAGTGATGATGCTGTTGCTTCACCTACGAAGGGTCGCACACACACACACACACACACACACACACACACACACACACGCACGCACGCACGCAACAGAGCCATTTCTTATGTCGCAGCCCATTCAGTCAATTCACCTTCAACCACCACCACCACCACCATCGCCATGAAGACATTCCGCTTGCTGCGGACCGGGAGCGGCGCGTGTTTGTTGATGTGCAGGCGCCCGTCTTTGGGCCATACTCCATCGCAGACAGGTGCCCCTCTTCTTGCTTGCAGGCACGCATATGCAACGTAACTGCGCGTGCTTGTGTGTGTGTGTGTGTGTGTGCATGTAGTCCACCTCACCATTGTGCGTTTATGCGTGTGTATGTGTTCAGGTCCATTGTGATCCATGAGGAAAACCAGCAGGCGCCCCGCATCGCATGCGCCTCCCTCTTTGACATGTACGTCATTTCGCATCGTTCTTTGTGTGTGTGTGTGTGTTTGGGTGTTTGTGTGTTTGTGTGTGTGCGTGCTTCTTCATGTTCTTTGTGCGTGTGCACGTGTGCAACTCACCCCTTGTCTTGCATTTTGTTGTGGCGACTGCTTCCACTTCCAACTCAATTCTCACACGATACCATTCACCACCATCTGCTACCACCACCATACATCACCATCAAGGCAACCGCCACCGATTCGCCAACGCAACGTCACAGCGGCGCTGACAGACCAGGACGGGCACGCTGTGGAGGTCCATTTCAGACAGGTTGGACAGACCGTCAGCGTGTGGGCTGACCTCAGCACGATCGAGGAGTCACACCATGCCCAGCTTGTGGTTCACGAACTTCCCCCGCATGAGGAGGATGGCGAGACGCCCGATTGCACAATCCTCGGCGGTGTCCTGCACAACGGTGCGAACGGCGCTTGCGTGTTTGTTCGTACATTTGCTTGTTGGTGTATGTGTTTTGTGTGTTGTGTGTGCACAAATACATCGCGTGGTGTGTGTGCGTGGTGTGTGTGTGTGTGTGTGTGTGTGCGTGGTGTGTGTGTGTGTGTTTGTTTCGTACATGCCACTGTTCTCTCATGGCATTGTTGCCTCTCGCCCATGCAGGTGTTGGCGACATCAGCGCACATGTGTCTGTGCAGAATGACACGCTCTCCGGCAGCACCAACACCATCTCCCTCTTTGGACAGCAGACAATCATGGGCCGGTGCGTGCACGGGGAGACGCTACTGTTGTCTGTGTCAACATGAGAGAGAGAGAGAGAGGAAGTGTGTGTTTTCGTGCGTGTTCGTGTGTTTGTGTTTGTGTGCTTCGTGTTTTGCGTGTGGTTGTGGTGTGTGTGTGTGTGCGTGTGTGTGTTTTGTGTGCCTCGGTCCTTTCACGCTTCCCCACCCCCGGCCTTCCGAAATCCCTTCTCGTTCACCCCCCTCTCCCCAACACGCAACACACGCGCGCACACCCACCGCCACCATCAGCGGGGTTGTGCTGAGAGCTGGCGAGCACGTGTTCTGCGGCACCGTCGGCTTCCACGCTCCAACTATTGTCCAAATTGCACAGTTTGACCACTTCTGCAACGACAAGAACAACTGCATTCGCGGCTACATTCGCCTCGAGCAAGCAATGGTGCGCGCGCGTATGCGTGTGTGTGTGTATCTGTGTGTATCTCTCTCTGTGTGTGTGTGTGTGCGTGTCGTGTGAATCCTTGTTGAAACATGGTTGGGCGTGTACCCCTGTTTCAGTCGATGCGCTCCACACCTTTCAAGGTCTCCAGCCCATCTTCTTTCACACGCACGCCTCCCCTCCCTCATCACCACCACCCCCTCCTCTGCCCGTGTGTGTACGTGCGTGCATGTGTGTATGTGCAGGTGTATGACGAGCTCATCAACTCGACGGACGCGACGTCGGAGACGGCCATCATCGTGGACGTGTACGGCAGCGGCGCCGGCGCTGTCCTCAGCCGGGTGAGGTCGCGTGGGCCGTGGTGCCGAGAGGTGGTGGTGGTGGCGCTGGAAAGCACGGGTTCTTTGTGTTGGGGACAACAACAAATGGCTTCTCTCGACTACCTCTCGTTCTCATCCAACCGTACACACACACGCAACCTTCACACGCACACATACACGTGCATACCCAACCTACACACATAATACGCGTACACATACACACACTCGTACACATTTTCCATGATTGATACAGTCCCACCTGTGGCACATCCACGAGACGCCTGTTGATGAGGAGACGTTTGACTGCAGCAGTGCCGGTGGACACTTTGATCCCTTTGACAAATGCGTTTGGATTCCAGAAAAGTCTGTCTGCGAGGACCCATACCCACAACGGTCTGTCGACTTGAAAGCGTTGGGAGTGCATGCAAGCACAGCTTGCACACGCCGCCGGAGCGTTGCTTTGTTCTTTGTGCTCGCAATGACCCACAACCTCACCATCGCCCCTGCTGTTGTGTCTCAGGTGCCACGAAACTGCCCCCTTCCAGTGCGAAGTAGGCGACTTTGCCGGCAAGCACGGCGCCATCGGTGAGACGCTGCGCTATTTGTTTGTTTGTTTGTTTGTTTGTTTGTTTGGTTTGTTTGGTTTGTTTGGTTTGTTTGTTGTGTGTGTGTGTGTGCGCGCGCGCGTTTGTGTGCGTGTGTATGTGTGTGTGTGTGTGTGTTTGTTCGTGTTCATTCTATGCTTGCTTGTGCCTAAAAGACCTTGTCTCCTCCCTTCGCCGTCACCACCACATCCCCCTGACATGACTCCCCTCCCCCTAACCATGACGGTGCCGTGTGATGTGATGTCGTATGGTGTGGTGTGCAGACGTTCCTCGCCGCGAGCACCGCCAGCGCATCATGTTCGTGGATGTGCAGATGCCGCTCTTCGGCCCCGCATCCGTCGCAAACAGGTGGGCCGCTCTGTGGTGGTGTGGTGTGCTATGATGTGGTGTGGTGATGTGGTGGTGGTGGTGTGGTGTGGTCGTGTGGTGGTGTGAAGGTGCTTTGTGTCTTGTCGGGTTGTCATTTGTGTTATCAGCGTGTGAAAAGTGCTCTTCTTTGACACATGCTTGTACTTGCATGTCCCCCCCCCCCTTCTTCCTTCCACTTTCGTGTTGCTGCACAGGTCGATTGTGATCCACGGCGAGGAGTATGCACCGTCGCGCCAGGCGTGCGCATCGCTCGTTGACGCTGCGGCGCTTGGCCCCGTCACCACCACGGCATCCACAACGACCACCACCACCTCCGCACCCGGTACAAGCACCAGCACAAGCACAAGCACCAGCACAAGCACAAGCAGCTCCAGCACAACCGCAGCAGGTGGAGATACAACTACACCCGCCGCCAACACGACAACGACGACGACAACGACAACGACGACAGCACACAGTGGCCACACGTCCACCACCTCCACGGGCCACAGCGGGCACACGACAACAACCGGCCACAGCGGGCACACGACAACAACAACAGCGGCTGGGCAGGCGACAACAACGGCGGCAAGCGGGCCCGACAGCTCGCGTGGCAGTCTCACTGGAACACAGAAGGCGGGCCTCGCTGTTGGCATCATCGTTGGAAGTCAGTCACATTGTGATTGTGATTGTGAGTGGGGGGTGGGGGTGAGAGAGAGTGTGTGTTGGTTGTGTGTGTGCGTGCGTGTGTTCTGCCTTGTTTCCTCTTGTTCTCTTTCTTCGACTCACGTGTGTTTGTGTGTGATACAACAATTATGCTTTGCAGTGATTGTGCTTGCTTGGGGCAGCGTTTACATCTATCGCAAGCAAGTGCGCCCATACCAAGGTACGTTGTGTGTGTGTGTGTTGTGTGTGTTGTGTGTGTTGTGTGTGTTGTGTGTCGACCAGTTCAGTGCCTGGCACTCTGCCTGCTTCACTGCATACCCCCCTTCATTGTTGCATGTTCCGTCTTTCTTTCATCAACACGACCCCTCCCTCCACTGTGTTCATTCTATGCACGTGGTTCGCTGCGCAGGCGCGTCTCGACTGGACAACAACGCCTTTGATGACGAGGAAATGCAGTTTGCTCTCCACTCCGAAGCCTAATCACACACGCACACAGCACAGCACACACGCACATGCAGCTGTGTACGTCTGCTTCCACATGTGCACCACCACCAATCAGCTTGTGTCTCGTCCACCTTTCTTTCTTCACGATTGTGTTATGTTGGCTTGCCTGCTTGCTCGCTCGCCTGCCTGCTTGCTTGCTTGTCACGTTCCGTTCACATCACACACCACCTCACACCACTTACGTCCGCCATCACCCACCTGTTCGCGCGCGCACACACACACACATAAACGAATCACACATCCAACAAGTGGGCAGGAGAGGTTGAGGAGAGGGGAGGGAAGAAGTGGATGACGGCACATAGCACCACCACCACACTGCTGCCATCAATCACTGCCATCATCATCAACAACAAGGAACAAGAAGAGAAGGGTCAAAGCAACATTCACACAACGACAAAGTCGCTGACGATGCGAACCGTTTCTCTTGCTGGCTGGGACGACGTGAGTTGCCACATGATGCGTGATGCGTGATGTGTGTGCTGTGTGATGTGTGTGTGCAGGGATCGCGCTGACTCTTTCCTTGTGTGTGTGTGTGCGTATGCGTGTGCATGTGTGGCCATGATGGGGTGTGGATGAGCAGCAGGTGCGTACGCTGCCGACGACGGTGTATGCGCCGCCGCCGCCACGCAGGAGGATTGTTGTCATTGCCGTCGTCCTCCTCATGGCTTTGCTCGGCACGCTCCTGGTCAGATGGCATGTGCATGTGCGTGTGTGTGTGTGTGTGTGTGTATGTGTGTGTGTGTGTGTGTGTGTGTGTGTGTGTGTGTGTGTGTGTGTGTGTGTGTGTGTGTAAATACCTGTGCATCTGCCCACCCATCTGCTTACTTGCACGCTCCCTCGTATCCACCCCTCAACCTCCTCAACCTCCATTGTACTGCCCTGCACGTCACCGCAGGTGAGCCACCACAAGGGCGACATCACCTCCATGCACAGGCACTGGAACGTCCCAGCGAGAGGAAGCACAATCCAGTGAGTGCTCCCTGCTGCTGCTGCTCCCTGCTGCCTGCTGAACGCTCACCACTCGTTTGCTTTGTGGAGAGGGGTTGGTTGCAGTCATACACAGACACGCATGCACACACAGTGTTGCCACCCACTCCTCCCTCACACACACACACACACACACACTCTCTCTCTCTCTCACACATTCTGTGTGCGTGTGGTAGATACAACGACACGTATCCGTTGACGGAGCCGCAGGAGCATGAGGATTACACCAGCTACAGAATCGCACTCATCACAGATCAAGACAAAGCCAGCAAGACAGAAGAGGTGCGTGCCCTGAATGCGTGCGCGGTGTGTGTGTGTGTGTGTGTGTGTGTGTGTGTGTGTGTGTGTGTGTGTGTGTGTGTGTGTGTGTGTGTGTGTGTGTGTGTGTGTGTGTGTGTGTGTGTGTGTGTGTGTGTGTGTGTGTGTGTGTGTGGGTGCGTGGGTGCGTGGGTGCGTGGCTGCTGACCCTCCACGTTATCGCTGTTGTTGTTGCTTTTGGGATACAGGGCAAGTCATGGGAAAGCGTGATGTACAAGGGCGAGCTGCGACAGCACCGCGATGGCCGCTACTCATTCCTCCAGGTGCGATGTGTGCGCGCGCATGTGTTGGCTGCATCCTACAAGTCTTCTGCTACCTTCCATTGTCATTTGCAACACAACACATGACCTGCCACCCTAACCTCCTCGTTTCTCCTCGCCACCCAGGACCCCACACCCGTCGTGCTGTCCACGACATACAATGCAAAGGGACGCGGCGCGGAGCTCTCGGAGCTGCAGGTCTTCAATGGCAAGGTGTGGTGTGTGCGTGTGTATGATGTGTGTGCGTGTGTATGATGTGTGTGTCTGCAATGTGTGCGTGATTGTGATGTGATGTGAGCATGGCGTGTGGTGGTGGTCTGCATCTGAGGATTCCACTGACCATGCCTTGCTAGCAGCTGTAGTCCCGTGCTCACACGGTGACCACAACCGCCATCATGCATCATCATCATCGTCATCATCATCATCATCATCATCCAGCTGTACACGGCTGATGACCGGACAGGCATCATCTACGAAGTGCTTGGCACGCGTCTTGTTCCAAGATTCATCCTCAGCGACGGCAGCGGCAACAGAGAAAAGGTGTGTGTGTGTGTGTGTTATGTGCGCCTGCCCCTGTGCGCCTGCCCCTGTGCGCCTGCCTGTCAGTGTGCCCTTGAATACGCTTGGCGGAAATGCGCGGATGTGCCGATGTGGCAGCCCTGCGTCTGTGCTTACTGACCCGATGTGCTGGCTGCTGTGCGCATGGCAGGGGTTCAAGATTGAGTGGATGACGGTGAAGGACAACCATCTGTGGATCGGTGGTATCGGCAAGGACTGGACCACAGCTGAAGGTGTTGTGCCGCATGTGCACACGTGTGACATGGCATGGAACCATGCCAAGCGAGGAGTGTTCGCGCGCGCAAACACTGACCCACTCATCACTCCAACATGCACACACGTGTATTTACACATGTTCACACACACACACACACACACACACACACACACACACACACACACACACACACACACACACACACACACACATAATGCCTGCGCATCAGGGGAGTTTGTGAACGCCGACCCCAAGTGGATCAAAATTGTGTCTCCGAGTGGGTCTGTGCGGCACGTCGACTGGCGGCCCGCGTATCACGCCGTCCAGCAGGCAGCAGGCATCCCTGACATTGGGTGCGTTGCGCTGCTGGTGCGGTGATGTGGCCGTGGTTGGTAGTCATTGCACGTCACACCATGACCTGACGTTTTGTTGTTGACAAGGACAGCACTGCGGCAGCGCGGGCAAACCCAAACACACTTACACACTCACTTGCGTATTCGAACAAGCATCCTCTCACCACCACCATCATCACCACCGTTGTCATTGTCGTCATCGTGGGGCTGCAGGTACCTGTGGCATGAGGCGGTGGCGTGGTCGCGGGATTTGTTGCGATGGGTGTTTCTGCCGCGCAGAGAGAGCAGCGAACGCTACGACGAGACCATGGTGCGTTGTGTTGTTGTTGTTGTTGTTGTTGTTGTTGTTGTTGTTGTTGTTGTTGTTGTTGTTGTTGTTGTTGTTGTTGTTGTTGTTGTTGTTGTTGTTGTTGTTGTTGTTGTGTGTGTGTGTTGTTGTGTGTGTTGTTGTGTGTGTGCGTGTGTGTGTTTGTGTGTTTGTGTGTGTTTGTGTGTGTGTATCTACCTGCGAGTACACTGCGCTTCGTTCATCCACGCCAAGTTCATTTGTGTGACAGAGACTGCCCCACCACCTTCTTCATCACCTCGTCTCACCGCGTGCGTCGTTTGTGTCACTTCTATCAGGATGAGCGACGCGGCACGAACTTGCTCATTACCGCGGATGTGTCATTTAGCGACATCCATGTGTCAAGGATAGGCGAGGCAGACCCCGAACGCGGGTTTTCGTCCTTCAAGATCATCCCAAACTCGGGCGGAATGCATTTACTGGCGGTGAAATCGCGGGAGGTTGAGGGGCAGCTATCCTCTTACATCACGGTGCTCGACGCCCACAACGCACAGGTGATTTTGAAGGACCAGAAGATTGCAGACAACAAAGTGGAAGGGGTGGAGTTTGTCTAACGCATAGATCTCGGTGATGGCACCCCCATATGCGACTGCGTGTATCTGAACGCGACTATTGCGTGCATGTAAAGCAGCAGCAGCAGCATGTGAACAGAATGAGTACAGGAATGCGAAAGTGTGTGTGTGCGTGCGTTGTGTGTGTGTGTGTGTGTGTGTGTGTGTGTGTGTGTGTGTGTGTGTGTGTGTGGCGACGGAAACTACCTGAGTATGGGCAATTGTGGTTTTTTTTTGTTTTGTTTTGTGCTGTGAATAGGAATCCCCCCCGCGTCTCCCCTTCTTCTCTCGCATCACTGGCTTGTCAGGTCACCGTTACAACCGTGTTATTCTGCCAGAACCACGTCGTTCAAACACACATACACAACCGCTATTCTACCACCCACGTTCGTACGCTGACGCACACACACCCACACGCACAACGTGACAAGCACTGCAGAACACTAGCGAGCCACAGTTACACAGCCAATACAATAACCAGCCATCCAAGGCAGACGTGCGTGTGTCATTGCAGCTGCTGCTGTCACGACGCCTTGTACTTGTGCAAGTATTGAAGGGCAGTGGTGGAGCGAACATACGTCAGTCCAGCAGCAAACGTCGTGAAGCCAGTCACGCCCCTGTGTGTGTGTGTGTGTGTGTGTGTGTGTGTGTGTGTGTGTGTGTGTGTGTGTGTGTGTGTGTGTGTGCGTGTGTGTGTGTGTGCGTGTGTGTGTGATGGTGAGAGACCGGACTTGTCGTGTGAGCAAGGGATACAAGTGTTAGTGATGGCCATGCACACACACGCATATGCACACACACATATGCATATGCATATGCACATACACACACGCACCAAATGATGGTTGCGTGTTGTGGGTCGAGGGCGAGCGCTGTTGGGAACGCCTGCTGTGCAATGAGAAACGCAAACAGGGACAGCTGTACTGCCGTGTTCACCTGCAGACGGAGAGAGGACGTGCGTGCGTGCGCGTGCATGTATGTATGTGCATATGAGTGAGGTTGCAGCCAGCGTGCGCACACATATATGCGTGTGTGCCTCGGCACATGTGAGCGCGTGTTCGTGTGCACCACCTTTGCGATAAACGACGGGATAACGCGCACGGTTGGACGCTTGAGATTGAAGTAATCACTCGCCGTGACCTGCCGGCGGTGTTGATTGAAATCCGCACATGCAGAACACACGCCGCCGAACATGGATGAGTGGTTGCATACACGACAATGCACAGCATGCTGAATACGCGTGGTGGTGTACGTGTGTGTGTTTGCGTGTATGTGTGTGTGTGGATATACATGTGTGTGTGTTTGCGTGTGTCTGGATATACATGTGTGTGTGCGTGTGGATGTGTGGATGTATGTGTACGCACAATGTGTATGTGTGTGTTTTCGCAATGTGTACATGCGGGTGTATGTGTTTGTGCGTGTGTGCACTGCCGTTTGCAAAGTCTGCACGTTTCTGTCTCCTCTCTCCTCACCCCACGCGTACACTTCACTGTTTCACTTCACTTCTCTCCTGCCTCCCTCCGCCCTCGCTGCCAGCGCACCGGTGTTGTTTGCACGGCCTTGAGGGACGAGTAGCGGATATAGAAGCTGGCCAACATCATCGTCGCGTCCTTGAGCAGCACCAGACCAGCCAGCCACGCTGCCATTGAGGAGAGAGCGAGCGTGTCGTAGGCGAGGGAGGATGAGGGTTGACGAGGGGGGATGTGGGTGGCGGGAAGCTGGATTGGATGGGGAGGTAATTGGGGACTGGATGACACGCACACATGATAACACACACACACGCACAAGCAAGCACACACGCACACACACACACAAGCAAACACACACACACACACACACACACACACACACAAGCAAGCGCATACACGCACACACACGCACACACACACACACAAACACACACACACCACACACACACACACACACACACATACACCTACCTGGCATGGCGCCGATGTAGCCGAGAGAGGCGGCGGAGGCGACGATGAGGAACTTGTCTGCAAACGGATCGACGACAGTGCCCAAGATGGAGCGCTGGCTCGGGAACTTGCGGGCGATGGCACCATCAAGCTGGTCAAAGCACGTGTGGAATGGTGGCGACAAGGCGTCGTAGGTGTGAAGGGAAGCTGAGGGCGAGGGAGGGGTTTGGATATGCGGGGGATGGGAGAGCAGATACACACACACACACACACACACACACACACACACATGCGATACCCAGTCGGAGATGGCAGCGGTTGCAAAGAGGCCACAGGCCATGTTCGGGTGCCCGTCCACGAGGTTGGCGACAATGACGGGCGTGATGAGGATGCGGTAGAGCGAGAGCATGTTGGGGACAGTGGCAATCTTCTCTGTGCGAGGAAGGGAGTCGGATATGAGCGTGGTTGTGGCGCGCTCCTTGAGGCGCTCAAACTGGTGCTGCTGCCTTGCACGCAGCCGCTTCAGGCGCTCCTGCTCCCGTTCAAAGCGGTACTTTGCCGACGCACGGACCGTGTTCAATCTCCGCAACATGGCCAGCCGGTGCCGCCCATATCCGTCTGTGTTGACACTCTCATCCGTCAGCCACTGCACGAAGCGTAGTCTGCTCTTGCTGCCGTGTTGCCGCTGTGGGGCGGCCGCCTCGTCGTTCCTGTTGTTCGTGGAGGTGGCGGGGCTGTCGTGTGCACTGTCCGCGCTGTCTGCGCTGTTGTGTGCGTTGTTTGCGGTTCGCGGGCTGCTGACACTGTTGGAGCGGCCGGACGCTCGCCTGACTCCGCTGCTGTATTGCGGGTCTGCAAGTGCTGCTCGTGGTGGCAGCACGGTTAGGGAGTGTGCTGCGCGCGTGGTGGCCGCCAGAGATGCTCCTTCCAGTGTCAGTCGGGCTGCTGCTGCTCCTTGTTGGCCATGATGATGATACAAAGTGCTTGGCGCACTGGGCGCAGTTGCGCGTCTTCCACATGCGTAGCTGCCCCTGTGGCTGTGGCAACTGTTGGTGTTGCGGCTGTGTGGTGCAGCGAAGGTCGCACAGCCCACGCTCAGGTCTCGCCTCAACTGGCGGGCGCCAGCAGCGCCAGCACCAACACAAGCACCAGCACGGCAGCGGCCATTCGCTCCTGCAGGCCGCAACAGAAGCAACACCGCCCTCTGCGCACTGACTCGACTTGTCATCATCGTTGTTGTTGTTGCTTGGTGGTGGTTTTGTGTGTGTATGTGTGTGTGTGTGTGTGTGTGTGTGTGTGTGTGTGTGTGTGTGTGTGTGTGTGTGTGTGTGTGTGTGTGTGTGTGTGTGTGTGTGTGTGTGTGTGTGTGTGTGTGTTTATTGGGGAACACTCGCTGAAATCTTACACTGCTCCCGGCGCTCAAAGATGGGGAAGGCAATTGGTGTGTGTGTGTGTGTCTCAACTTCCACTCACCCCTCACCCCTCACCCTCACTTCAACAGCATTAGTCACGCTGCAAACGACTTGCCAGTCGCACAACACACATTGGGCAGCCAGGTTGCAACATCGACTGTATTGCACATCAAACCCAACAGGAGAAACTGGACTGTGTGTGAAGCGAGCACTAGGAGAGAAGGGGGGGGGGCTGCTGGGAAGTGCAGGGAGAGGCCATGGTGGAGGTGGTGACGAATGGGTTGTTGGTGGAGGTTGTGGCGCATGGGTTGTGGGTGTCAGTGATTTAAGCGCTGCCCTCGGCCGCCTTCTTCGTCTGCGCACCAAGGAACTCCCTGCAGAGGCGAGATGCACGCGTGTGATCGTGGTTTGTGAGTACTGTGAGGAAGGATGAGGTTGGAGGGGGGCTTGAAGACAACTCTGCATGCGTTTGTGTGTGCAGCGGCACAGCACACCTACTGCAAACACAGCAAAGGCGAGCAAAGACAGAGCAAAAGCAAGGCAGAGCAATGCAGGGGGCAACTGACGTACCAGTTGTCGGACACCATCTTCTGCACCGCAATGAGGGCCTCAAACTTGACCTGCTTGTCCTCGTGCTGTGAACACGTGGGGTGGTGGTTGAGTGGTTGGTTGTGTAAGATCGGAACGGAGGATGGTTGTGAATGATGAGACACGAAGCGATGGGGGAGAAGAGGAGAGACGAGAGGGAAGAAGAGATGAGATGCACACACACACACACACACACACACACACACACACACACACACACACACACACACACACACACACACACACACACACTTATGTTTAAGTGCAGCTGCAGCAAATTCCCTGTGTGCAAACACAGCTGCCTACCTCCATGAGTGCGATGATTTTGCTCTTGGCAGAGAGGTCTTCAAGCACCTTCTTGCCAAACGGGTAGTGGCTCACATACTGCCCGCAGTCGTGCACCGCAACCGCAAGCGTCTGACATGGTGGTGAGGGTGGCGGTGAAGGTGAGTAGTTGCAAGAAGGGGGATGCACTGAATCACAAGTACATCAACTACACACGCACGCACACACACACACGCACACACACACACACGCACACACGCACACACACACGCACACACACACGCACACACACACACACACACACACACACACACACACACACACACACACACACACACACATTACACTGCACCTGCGGGTTGTTTGATGTGAGGCAGGAGACGACCGTCTTGAGGAGCTCATGCTTGTTGTCGTTGAACTTGAGCACATTCTCTGCCCAGAACTTCTTGCTGCGGTGCACGGGCGTCCACTCAAGCTCCCCGCTTCGCACCTGGCACCCGACACCACAGGCACGCGTGTGAGGGACACGATGCACGCAAGACAGGGGGGTATGGCGGGGGAGAACGCTGAGAAGGCGAGATGGCAAGCAGAACGCTCACCACCGCACAAATAACAACAGCAGCAGTAGCAGCCCGCACCTCGGCGACGTATTCGTCAAAGGAGCTCATGTGGTCGTGGCAGCTGCGCAGTTTCTCCAGCAGAAACTCGACGTCCTCCGCCAACTCCTCATCCTCGTGCGCCGCCGCCCGGTGCAGCCGCTCAACAACAGGCAGCAGCTTGTGCCTGCAGGCAACCAGGGATAAGCAGGGGTGGAACGGTGAGGTGCGCACGTGTGTGTGTGTGTGTGTATGTGTGTGTGTGTGAGTGCGTGCGCGCGCGTGTGTGTGTGTGAGTGCATGTGTGCGCCAGCGTGCATGTGTGTGTGCATGTGTGCAGTTCATATTGCACGAGTCATGAGTGGACTGCGGCGTGCTGGGATGACGCACGTGACCATGGCGATGGAGAGTTCGAGCGATTGCTTCGCCTCAAGGTTCTCAACGCAGTTCTGAACAGGACATATCGTACAAAGGGGCGGAAAGGCAGGGGTGGAGTGAGCACATCGTGCTGAGGAAGAGGAAGGAATGCAAGCGCGCAATATCCAAGTACACACGCACATGCACACACGCACACACACACATGCACACAGCCTGTGACTGACCCTGAGAAAGGCAAAGGCGACGCGTGTGACCTTCTCCTTCTTTGCCTCCTTGACAATCTCGACAGCGGTGATGGCGAGCGAGTGCAGCACCTCAAAGCGAATCGACTGCACCGCCGACGCGTCAAACGTCAGCATCCACAGGCACGCCAGCGTCTGCAGGGAGAGAGCGGGTAAATGCGTGAGGGAGGGAGGGAGTGAGTGAGTGAGTTAGTGTGCATGTGAGCGTGAGAGTGTGTGTGTGTGTGTGAGTGTGTGTGTGTGAGCGTGTGTGTGTGTGTGTGTGTGTGTGTGTGTGTGTGTGTGTGTGTGTGTGTGTGTGTGTGTGTGTGTGTGTGTGTGTGTGTGGAAAGCAGGTTCGCTTAAGCGTGACAAGCTCACAACAGCAAAGCACCTCGTCGCAGAAACAATGTCATGCACGCAATGACCTAAATTGCCTTACCTGATAGAGGATCTGGAAGTGCCCGCTCGGGTGCAGCAGCGATTTCAGGGCATCCAGGAAGCCTGCACACGAACAGTGGAGTGGGTGAGAAACAAGTGCGTGTGTATGTGGTGTGCGTGTAGTGTGTAGTGTGTAGTGTGTGTGTGTATGTCGAGCGTGCAGTGTGTGTGTGCGGCGAAGGTGGGCAGCAACTGCCTCGAGTAGAGGCGCAAGACAACAAGCGGCGCAGTACAGTGGACCGACTTCGGGAGTGAGCGACGAGCGGACGGTTGCGCGGGACCTTGAGGACGGAAACCACCGCCGCCAGCGCCAGGCGCACAGCACTCGACTCCTACACACGCACACACACACACACACATACAGTGGAGACAGACGAAGTTTGGGAACAGTGTCCATGAGGGAACAGGAGGTGAGTGCGAGTCCATGTGGGCAAGTGTGCATCGTTCTACACGCCCATTCCATCTCACGCCACCTCGCCCATTCACGGCTGCACAGGCAAGCATCTGGGCCACGCGTGCTTAATCATTTACCTGGTGGCTCAGCTGCTTCTGCAGCCAGTTGAGGTAGGTCTGGATGTGCTTGTCCTCGTACGGTGCGCCGTGCTCAATCAACCTGCATGGAAGCAGGTGGGAGGGGCAATGCGCACAGGGAGCAGACGCATGAGGGAGTGGTGGCAAACACGAGGCCGGTCAAAGGTGCCGTAGACATGCATGAAAGCACACAGGCACACAAAACTGTGTGTGTGTCTCTCTCTCTTTCACACACACACACACACACACACACACACACAACCTGGCGATGACGCGTGATGACTGGTGGGCGATGTAGAGGGAGGGCATCTCAAGCTTCTGCAGAAATGGGTGAAGCGGCGACGGTGGTGCACTGCAGACGAGGCAAAAGGGGGCGATGAAGATGGTTGGGAGCAGGCCACATTGAGGCATTGCAGGCGAGCGCGTGTGGTTGGCATGGAACTCGAAACAGCACCACAAAACTCACCTTTCGATGGTGCCTGCCACCTCAATGAGCAGATCTGTGGTGGATGGATCATCCTGAAGATGGCACAGGCATGGACAGCAGCAGTACGACAACGAAAGTAAGCGGATGGCACAGACGCCAGTGACACCAGCAGTGGACTGCATTGCATGCCTCAGCAGCATGTGAACACACACACACACATATACACACACACACACCTCTGCGATGCGATCGAAGGTGGTGACAATGTACTTGAGTCTGTCCTCTGCAACGACGTGCATGTAGAGCTCCAACAACACGCGCATGATCTGAAATGTAGTGGTTGTGGACAATTGAGTTTGTGAGTGCCACTCAACCCAATACATACATGAACACAAGCACATGCAGTCGCACGCACACACACACACGCACACACACAGCGTACATCGCGGCCGCTTTCTTCAATAAAGTGGAGACGGCTGCCTTTGTCTGGAACATCATACTCTTGCATCAGCAGAAGGCCATCCGGATCCACGACGTTGAGACTGGAGCAAGTGGTGGCGACGCAGTGCGGTGGTGTGCAGTGAGAAAAGGAGAAGAACAGAGAAGCGCGAGTACAGACGAGTGAAGACATACAGCACAGCGTGAGCACGCAAGCTTACACTCCGAGGGAGCCCCAGTCCATGCGGGTGCCATGGATTTGCACGCGCTCATCCAGAATGGAGTTGCTCGTGGTGCCTATGTGTGTGAGTGAGTGAGTGTGTGTGTGTGTGTGTGTGTGTGTGTGTATGTGTGTGTGTGTGTGTGTGTGTGTGTGTGTGCGTGAGTGTGCGTGTGTATGTGTGTATGTGTGTATGAGTGTGAGTGTGTGTGTGTGAGTGTGTGTGTGTGTGTGACATGAAGGCACGTTGCATGCGAGTGAAATTCCATCTTCAACGAACAAGGTACCAGATACAAGCACTCATGTGTTGTCCAGTGGCGACAAGAAGCATTGACTGACCCTCGGGCGCAATGGGGATTGTCTCAAACACCATCCTGCTCAAGGTGAAGTCCTGGCTGTGTGATGGATGTCGGTGCAAGGTTGTGGTTTGTGTTGGAGGGGTGATTGTGGAGCGAGCAGGAACAACAATTTTTTTTATTGTGGGCAGTGTGCACTTTATGGTGTCTCGTGTGTGGCAACTGAATTCAGTGGAATGTGTGGTGAAGGCGCGAGCTTGTGTGTGTGTGTGTGTGTGTGTGTGTGTGTGTGTGTGTGTGTGTGTGTGTGTGTGTGTGTGTGTGTGTGTGTGTGTGTGTGTGTGTGTGTGTGTGTGTGTGTGATGAAAGAATGAGGCAACGCTTGTTGTTTCTATTGACGGAAGAACACAAGGGAAGGCAAGGCTAGGCTGCTAGGAGCAGGGCAGGCACATTGGCTATGTAACGAGCGAACGGCGTGGGAGAGTGTGCGTAAAAGAACAAGGTGGGAGCATAACAGTGCTGAGTGATGACCGAGGACGGAAGGAGGAAAGTGAACACACCGAGGGGTGGTGTAATGTAACAAAGAAAGAAAGAATCATGGCAATGAAGGCTATCAAAGTGATGTGATGAGAACAAAACAGGACTGAAACTCTGAAACTGGCCAGGGGCTGCGGGAAAGATTGGGTGGAGAAAGGGAGACTGGATGGCAAATTGCCTCCACTGAGCTGTTGAGCCAGTGCCACACAATGCATGCACAACAAACGCACGCTCGCACACAAGCGTGCGCAATCACACACACGGACAAACACACACACAGACACACACGGACGCACACAGGCCCACACGCACTATGACTCAGGCCTCAAACACAAGAATGGCCCGCACAAGAACGCACGAAGGGTCTGTCACCACAATCTCCGCAGCTGGCACATTATCGCCCTGGGTCCACTGCGAATGCGTTTCGAACGGCTGTGCAGCTTTGACTTTGCCGCTGGTGAAGTCAACCACTGCCACGTGCGCGTCGTGGCCTCCCGCCAACGGCTTCCCATTCAAATGCAGATCCAGCACGGGATATGGGTTGCCGTACATGACATCGCACGCCAGCACAATCCGGTAAGGCTTGCCTGGCTCAAGGTTGAGGCAGCGCAGATCAGCTGGGACGTTGTCGTGGTCTGCGCTAACATTGCATGGTTGAGCGTACGCACGCGCGTAGTCGAGATCTGGTGTAAAGTAGAAGCCAGCACCGTACCACCCTTTGTCCGTCTTCTGCAGTTGTGCAAAGTCGCCACCCAGGATGCCAAGGACGGCGTCAAATGACCCAACGCCGTGGAACACGCGCTGGATGCGCAGTGGCGGGTCCTTTGGCAGCAGGGAGGGATCGAGCATGCTGTACACGCCAACGCGGGTGACACGCTCCAGCACCGCCCGCTCCTCAGCATCTGTCGCTTGGCCCGTCGTGGTGTCGTGGTCGTACTTGGGCGCAAACGGGTGGCCGGCGCTGGTGAGGTGGCCGCGGTAGCGGGTGGTGTTGCGGTGCAGGGCGCCGTTGAAGGCGACGAGCTTCTGATCGCACCACGTGATGGCGACGCGGCACAATGTGCGGCCAAACGGTTCGCGCGGATTCTGCTCGGCGGTCCGGCCACCAGCGGCATGGACAAGCTGCAGGGTGGACGAGAGAGAGAGAGAGCGAGCGAGCGAGAGAGGGAGAGAGAGAGAGAGAGAGAGAGAGAGAGAGAGAGAGAGAGAGAGCGTATGTTGGATGCGTGCGTGCGTGTATGCGTGTGTGTGTGCGTTTATGTGTGTGTGTGTTTGTGTGTGTGTGTGTGTTCACATTGGATGCGAAAGTGAGAAATCTACGAAGAGCACAATGCTGGCAACAAGCTGAGGTGAAATCGTTGGGTGCATGGGGAAGAACCAAGGCACACACACACACACACACGCACGCACCTCAGTAACGGCGTCCTCGTCAAGTTGAAGTGGTGCAATGTAGACAGATTGGCGCGTCGACAGCTGGGCTGCCTCAACCGCAGCCAGCAGCTGCTGTGGAAACTTCCACACCGCATCTGGTGGTCCGTGCAGCAGCAAGTGCTGCTCCCGCAAATCGTCCGCCTGCTGCTCACTGGCTTTCTTGTGTCGCGACTTGAGGGCGGCGTGCAGTTGAGAAAAATCAACCCGGTTGCCGCTCGCATCAAAACTCCCGCGAAGCAGCGCCTGAAGCGCTGGTGTCAATCGCCGTCCATTGATCTCTTCATCAAGCGGCAGGTACTCGTGTTTGCTGTACTTGAAGACAAGGTCGCCAAACACGATACCCTTCTCGCTGTACGGCCCGTGGTGCCAAGGAACGACGCCAAACCACACCTCCCACACCACGCAGCCAAAGGAGAACACGTCCGTGTCTGCACGAGGGTCGTGTCCAAAAAGCTGCTCGGGCGATTCCCAGAACCGCGTGCCGCGAACATGTGTCATCGTAGATGCGTCCTCTGAGACGAACGCGCTCAGGCCAAAATCCGTCACCTTGGCAGAGAGGGATGCGTCCAGCAGCACGTTGGGCGACTTGAGGTCGCGATGAACGACGTTGTGTGCATGCAGGAACTCCATGGCAGCCGCCACCTCGCTCAAGATGCGCAGCTTGTCAACATCACTCAGGTTTTTCTTGTGCACGTGTGTGTAGTCGTACAGGGACCCGTTCTCCGCCCAGCTCAGCACGAAGGAGAGCGTGTTGCGGTCGTTGTCGTAACAGAGACCGAGGAACGGCACGATGTTCGGATGGCGGAGCGACGCAAGGACGGCCACTTCTCGCAACACACGCTTGCTGTCAACATCACTTGCTGTCGTGCTGTACATCTCAGTCAGCAGGTGCTGTAATCGTGGTCGCGCTTCAACATCGTCCACTTCCTTCAGCGCCACGTCGTGCCCAGCAAGCGTGCTGCGGTACAGCTTGCCGAACGCACCCTTGACGGGCTTGCCCTTGTTGTCTCTGACGCGGTTCTTCGTCGTGAAGCGGGCTGGGTCCAGGTTGAGGTTGAAGAAGGACTCTGCATCATTGTTGAGAGCGGGCATTGGAAGGAGAAAGTGCAAGAGAAATGGTGAGAGCCGATGGAATGCGGCCAAGCAAAATGATGAGAGCGCACCGACGTTCGTACTTGTTGTGGGGAGCACGCACACAAACAGGCACACACACGCGCGCGCGCGCACACACACACACACACACACGCACCTGCTTGGTCTTCCAGTTGACGCAGCCGTTTCTCTGCAGATGTGCGAAATTGAGAGTCATGGACGGTGAGGGGGAGGCAAAGAAAGGAATGTCAGGTTACTCTTGTATCAGTTGAGGGATGTGTACAGATAATCAGTAGGAATGGCAATCGCAGCACGTCCACACCCACTCCAAGCACATACCAAGTTGGGTGATTGCGCTGTCTTTTTTGGCGGTGGCGGTCTGCAACTTGCCCACGCGTTGTGAAAGGCGATTTTTCTCCTCGTCTGTGCTCACGGGAGCACGGGTGTGTGTGTGTGTGTGTGTGTGTGTGTGTGTGTGTGTGTGTGTGTGTGTGTGTGTGTGTGTGTGTGTGTGTGTGTGTGTGTGTGTGTGTGTGTTTGGATGAAAGATGGTTGGTGAGCCAGTTATCAGTGCAGCAGTGAGCTTCTGAGAATTGATAGAGCATGAGCACAATGCACCCTCAGAAGTTTTGCTCACTCCCGCAACAATAACTGCGAATAAGACTACAGGATAGGAGTGTGACCATACGCTAGCCCACCGTTTCGTTGAAGCTGCTGATCTTTCTCCTGCACGTCGCGTTGAAGGCGCTGGACTTCGTCACCTGAAAAGCGATGGAAGACATTACACACAACAATCAGACGCACATGTAAACACGTGATTGTGGGATAACTGGATAAGTCTGAGAGGTGAAACAGGATGGGCTGAATGCACCCTCAGCTCCAAGACCCGAACACGACACCTCAGTGCACAACAGACCAGACCTTTGTGCTGCAGCAGCTGCTTCTTCTTCTGCACCACGCGTCGAAGGCGCTTGTTTTCTTCGTCTGACATGAAGACAGCACACAGCACACAACACGCAACATTCGGGCGCACATGTGAACACAGGCTGGCGTGAATACCCGAGGATAGTCTGAGGGATGAAAACGACGACACTGAAGCCTCTGCATCAGTTCCCGCACACGTTAAGTCAGGATATGGGAGCAAGAGACAATACGCCATTCTACCTGATCGTTGCAGCTGTTGATCCTTCTCCTGTACGTCGCGTTGAAGGCGCTCGATTTCTTCACCTGAAAAGGGCCACCACAAGCATGGACGCACGAGGGCGCATTCACAGATGTCATGGTGATAGTGTTTCGTTGGTAGTATCTCTGAGGGTTCATGCAATCAACCGATGTGATCAAGACAACATTAGAACATTGGCGGACATGCTTGCACGCATCATTCAAAAGACATACGTAGGCGGGCGAGGTCGATGTCGTTTCCACTGGGTGCCTGCAGTCATGCGTGAGTCAAAAGGGAAAAGAGCGTCAGAAGGCAACAAAAAGAGCGTGAAATAAAATGTTGGAGGCGTCGATGCGACAGTGGTGACCATGGTGAACACGATAGACAGCAGACCTGATTTACCTGCACTTGTGCTTGCAGCCACTGGCCTTCGTCAAACGCAGCGCGTTCAGAAGTAGTTCTGGAAGCAGCAAGCAGGAAGAATTAACACGTCACAGCATGAGGCGGGCATATGCGTCGTCGGATGGTCGACAGGCAAGACGCAACACCAACAGAAACCATTCTGGCCCAAAGGGACGTACAGGAACAGCCTGGCGCTGCCTTCAGGTGGCCATTTCGCGCCAAACGCGCGGGCAGCTGCATCGCCGATTCCTTGGAGCCTGAAAGAGACAAACAACAGGAGATGTGAGGGCAACAGAAGCTGTGGCATTCGCACATGTCAAGGCCGACGTTGCGATTGCAAGGGTATCCGAGGTGACAGTGCAAGTGTAAACAAGAGCGGCACAAGCGCAGTGCGATGCAGCACAATACAAGATAGACAAACCAAAGAGTTTGCAGCCTTGTATGCTCGCGCAGTGCACCAGCCAGCGCAACACAGCCTTCCTTCTCAATCGAGTTGTTGCTCAAGCTGCAATCAACACCACGCAGGTGTGCACACACACAGTCACATTCAAATGAGTCAAGAACACACTCGCCCACCACATCACGCACACAAGCAAGCAAAGCCCAATGGCGTACATGCATCACCATGCTCCTGCAATGCAGCAATACAGTCGCTCTACACTGCTCACAACCAAGGTTCACTGACCCAAGGATATACAGTCCTGTGTGCCCGCGCAGTGCACCAGCCAGCGCAACACAGCCTTCCTTCTCAATCGAGTTGTCGTCCAAGCTGCAATCAACACACCACAGATAGGCATGCACGGACTTACATTGAAACGAGTCAAGAACACACTCACTCACAACAGTCAATCACACGAGCATGCAGAGTCAAACAACGTGCATACATCACCATCCTCGTGCATTCCAACAACACATTCACGTACGCACATGGATGGCCAAACTACAACACTTCACAACGCATGCTGTACTTACTACAGCTCTTGAAGTCCAGTGTGTCCGCGCAGTGCACCAGCCAGCGCAACACAGCCTTCCTTCTCAATCGAGTTGTTGTTCAAGCTGCAATCAACACCACGCAGGTGTGCACACACACACTCACATTCAAATGAGTCAAGAACACACTCACGCACAACAGTCAATCACACGAGCATGCAGAGTCAAACAACGTGCATACATCACCATCCTCGTGCATTCCAACAACACATTCACGTACGCACATGGATGCCCAAACCATTACACTTCGCCATGCATGCTGCACTTACAACAGCTCTTGAAGTCCAGTGTGTCCGCGCAGTGCACCAGCCAGCGCAACACAGCCTTCCTTCTCAATCGAGTTGTTGCTCAAGCTGCAATCAACACCACGCAGGTGTGCACACACACACTCACATTCAAATGAGTCAAGAACACACTCACGCACAACAGTCAATCACACGAGCATGCAGAGTCAAACAACGTGCATACATCACCATCCTCGTGCATTCCAACAACACATTCACGTACGCACATGGATGCCCAAACCATTACACTTCGCCATGCATGCTGCACTTACAACAGCTCTTGAAGTCCAGTGTGTCCGCGCAGTGCACCAGCCAGCGCAACACAGCCTTCCTTCTCAATCGAGTTGTTGCTCAAGCTGCAATCAACACCACGCAGGTGTGCACACACACACTCACATTCAAATGAGTCAAGAACACACTCACGCACAACAGTCAATCACACGAGCATGCAGAGTCAAACAACGTGCATACATCACCATCCTCGTGCATTCCAACAACACATTCACGTACGCACATGGATGCCCAAACCATTACACTTCGCCATGCATGCTGTACTTACTACAGCTCTTGAAGTCCAGTGTGTCCGCGCAGTGCACCAGCCAGCGCAACACAGCCTTCCTTCTCAATCGAGTTGTTGTTCAAGCTGCAATCAACACCACGCAGGTGTGCACACACACACTCACATTCAAATGAGTCAAGAACACACTCACTCACAACAGTCAATCACACGAGCATGCAGAGTCAAACAACGTGCATACATCACCATCCTCGTGCATTCCAACAACACATTCACGTACGCACATGGATGCCCAAACCATTACACTTCGCCATGCATGCTGTACTTACTACAGCTCTTGAAGTCCAGTGTGTCCGCGCAGTGCACCAGCCAGCGCAACACAGCCTTCCTTCTCAATCGAGTTGTCGTCCAAGCTGCAATCAACACCACGCAGGTGTGCACACACACACTCACATTCAAATGAGTCAAGAACACACTCACGCACAACAGTCAATCACACGAGCATGCAGAGTCAAACAACGTGCATACATCACCATCCTCGTGCATTCCAACAACACATTCACGTACGCACATGGATGGCCAAACTACAACACTTCACAACGCATGCTGTACTTACTACAGCTCTTGAAGTCCAGTGTGTCCGCGCAGTGCACCAGCCAGCGCAACACAGCCTTCCTTCTCAATCGAGTTGTTGGTCAAGCTGCAATCAACACCACGCAGGTGTGCACACACACACTCACATTCAAATGAGTCAAGAACACACTCACTCACAACAGTCAATCACACGAGCATGCAGAGTCAAACAACGTGCATACATCACCATTCTCGTGCAGCGTACACGCATTCTCCCGACGCTTCTCACAACCAAGGTGCACTCACCCAAGCCACTGCAGTCCCGTGTGTCCGCGCAGTGCACCAGCCAACGCAACACAGCCTTCCTTCTCAATCGAGTTGTTGTTCAAGCTGCAATCAACACACCACACAGATATGCATACGCGGTCACATTCAAATGAGTCAAGAACACACTCACTCACAACAGTCAATCACACGAGCATGCAGAGTCAAATAAGGTGCATACATCACCATCCTCGTACAACGTACACGCATTCTCTCGACGCTTCTTACTACCACGCTGCACTCACACAAGCCGCTGCAGTCCCGTGTGCCCACGCAGTGCACCAGCCAACGCAACACAGCCTTCCTTCCCAATCGAGTTGTTGTCCAAGCTGCAATCAACACCACGCAGATATGCATACACGATTACATTGGAATAAACACGGAGTCACTCACCCACCACAGTCATGCACACAAGCATGCTACGCCCCATCGCGTGCATGCATAACCATGTTTCTGCAACGTAGCAACAGACATACCCACGAACACATAAACTTCCAATCTTCAACGCTTCACCACGCAAGACGCACTTACAACAGCTCTTGCAATCCAGTGTGTCCGCGCAGTGCATCAGCCAACGCAACACAGCCTTCCTTCTCAATCGAGTTGTTGCTCAAGCTGCAATCAACACCACACAGATATGCATACGCGGTCACATTCAAATGAGTCAAGAACACGCTCACTCACAACAGGCATGCACACAAGCATGCAGACTTAAACAACGTGCATACATCACCATCCCCGTGCATTTCAACAACACAGTCGCTCTACACTGCTCACAACCATGGTTCACTGACCCAAGCTTCCGCAGTCCTGTGTGCTCGCGCAGTGCACCAGCCAGTGCAACACATCCGTCCTTCCCAACCGAGTTGTGACCCAAACTGCATAAGACATAACATATGCACAGACGAGCACACACACATGTACAAAAACACGCCACAACACCGCAACACAATACCAACATATCGCATAACGCATGTCAACGTGCTTCCGTTGCATTCTGCAAACATGAACAACCGCACATCACACCGCAAACGCACAAGCACAGCTAACCAACCGAGCATATGCACCCCCATGGCACACAAACAAAGTCACCCACACATCAATTCACAAAACTGCCTGTGCCGTGGCATATACACCTACATGCACTTTGCACTCACTTAAGTACTTGCAGTCCCGTGTGCTCGCGCAGTGCATCAGCCAGTGCAACACAGCCGTCCTTTCCGATCGAGTTGTAGCGCAAGCTGCAACCACAACCAACCAGCGCCCACGCCATCACAAAACCGCATCAACGGTTAGGGCATGGTACAACATAATGAAGAACATCCTGCAGACTCGAATTCATTGTCATGCGTCGCAAGCAGACGATACAAATCACTCAGATAACGCAGCAACCATTTTAATACACTCAGAAAGTCAGTGAGAGTGTGTCGAACCCACCCACACCCACACCCACCCATACACACACATACACACACACTGAGCGACTCACTACAATGCTTGGATGTCCTTGTTGGGTCTGATGTTCAGTGCAATTGCCAGCGCCTTGGCACCTTTGTCTCCGAGCCCTGCTTTATTGAAACTGAAACCATTAAGGTAGCAGCAGGCCTGTGAGGAGAGCGTTTCTGAAAGCAAAACAACAAGCAAGCCGCAGCACCAAACAGAGAAACGTAGCTCACATTGCATTATGCCAAGGGGTTCTGACTGACTTGACATTAGTGGTCGACATGCCGTTGGCAACAGCTCGAATCTTGTTCTTCACACTGTCTGTCAACCCCGCCTCTGCCATCCACGCCTCCATCTCGTCCATCTTGCTGCTCTTGGTGCTTTGCTGGTCTCGCTGTCTTGGTGGTCTCGCTGTGTCGCTGTCCTTCCTCAGCACTTCACGCCACACACTGACACTGATCACCCTCGCTCGAGATCGTTAAAGCGTTAAACCTTTCCTCTCGCTTTGATCGGGCCTTCCAGCCCTGCGTGTATGTGCGTGGGCGCTGTCACACGCAAACCAGTATGTGCTCTGCGAATAGCCAGCCAGCCAGCCAGCCAGAGAACAACTCAAACGACACCTCCACACGCTCAGGTGCTGCTGTTGCGCTGGCTGGTTTGCGGACAGTTTGGTCTGCCAGTGTTGTTGTTGTGTGCTGTCCTTGGAGGTCGCCGAAAATCATTCATATCTTCAACCAATGATCCCACCCCAACAGAAGTCGACTTCCAGCCAGCCACATGTTTGTGTATTTCTTTTCTTTCACTTGTTGACATGAAGTGACAGAGACCTCAGAGCAGCAGAGCAGCAGAGCAGCTCCTCAGACAGACATTCATACTTTCATACGCATACGCATACATGCACACATTGACACACGTCAGCTATGCGTTGTTACCGCCTTCCAGCCTGTTCCTCTTCCCCTTCTGCAGCTGAGGATCCTTCTTGCTTCCGCTTGGCCTTATGTTTTCTGCTCCTGCTGGTGGTGCGCTTGCTGCTCTGCTTCTCGTCACGTTGTTGTTGCGCGTGCTGTTCTTGCTCGGCTGCCTGTGCGCGCCCCTTATTTGCCCGTTCGGATGACCTTATAAAGTCAGCAAACCTGGGCATAGGGGCAGGGGGCAGAGGGCAGAGGGTGACGGGAGGGCAGGGAGAGGGAGCGTGTGAGCGCGTGTGCGTATTTGTACGAATGCGCTTTCGCGCGCGTGTGTGTGTGGATGTGTGTGCGCCTCACATACACTCGCACACATGCAAACGTTCATAAACAAACACACACACACACACTCACTCACTCACTCACTCGCTCACACAGACACACACACACACTCTCTCTCTCTTCGTGCTCCTCAGTGCTGGATAGAGGAGGACGACACCTCTTAGCAGCGGCCTCCTCCGAAATGTCGGCATCCTGCACAGGAAATATACATGCGCATGTGAGTGTGCGGGAGAGCAAGGCTGGAAATGCAGACGTGCAAGCGAAAGGTCATCATGTTCACTGGCACAGGGTGACAGGCAGTCACGAAGGCGAAGAGCTTGCCGTGTTGTCAGAGCTGTGAGCACAGCCACAAGCACACCATCTTGTTTTCCACATATGCTGCACTCCAGGAGATGGGAACGATGCTTACCTCGCGTGTGATGAACTTGGCGGTTTTCCTGGGGTTGTCGTCCTTCTCAGACGTGTCTTCTTCGCCACGCGCCTTTGTCTTCTTCTGCTTCGCTTCTCGCATCACTCGCTGGTTCCGTGGATGTTGAGGAGATATGGGTTGTGGGTGGACCAGTTGAGTGAACGTATGATGGTGCGACAAAGAACCAACCCCCTTCGATTTGCATTCACCGTGGTTTCAAATCGAGCTCATTGCAAGACCGCAATGCAGTCTCCCACACATGTGTGTGTGTGTGTGTGTCCACAACGCATCCCCCGCACATCTGTTCACACACACACACACACACACACACACACACACACACACACACACACACACACACACACACACACACACACACACACACACACACACACACACACGCGCGCGCGCGCGCGCACACGCACACACGCACACACACATACATACCTGCACGTCTTCGTTGAAGCCGCGAAACGACATGCGTCCGACATCGGCGTGTTCGTCAATTGAATCAAAGCTGGACACGACCTGTATTCTCGGCCCGCGAGAACTGCAACCAACACGACACACCACAAAACCGAGGGTAAGTCAGTGGGTGAGTCAGTGAGGTGAGTCGGGCAGAGATCACACACACGTGTGCACACACAAACACACAAATACACACACGCACACAAACACACAAACACACAAGCACACAAACACACAACCACACACACACGCACAAACACGCAAACACACAAGCACACACAACCACGGACCTTTGAATGCTGGGGGCGCTTGCTTTCGCCGTGGCCTGTGCAACCTCTGCTTCTTGCGCCTCTGCCTCAGCCCGCTGCATGAACTTGAGCCCCAAGATGTGCTTGGACAGCCCTTTGGCAGCAGCAGTGGAAGAAGAAGAAGACGAAGAAGAGGTGGTGGTGGAAGAAGACATGGTGGTGGTTGATAATAATGGTGTGATAGTGAAGCGAGGTTGAGGCAGCAGCGTGAGTGCTGAAAATAAATGGAAATCATTCGCAAATCGCCAAGAACCGCTGTGGAGCGGTGGAAGGACAACAAAGCTCACTCACATCCCCACCTTCTCTCCTTCTCTCCTTCTGCTTGACGCATGGCGAGCGTGGTGTTTCAGCGTGACCTGCGGGTGTACGCTGCGTCGGAGAATGCGTCGTTGTTTCAGAATGCGAAGATCGGGTTTGCGGGCGGGCAGGTGCTGCTTGTGCACCGCCCCACGATGCGTGGGCTGCACTTCACGCAGGCTGGCTCCGCCATTACCCAACTGGCCAAGCCCGAGGTGGAGGATCTCCTGCAATCGCAAGACTTTCAACCAAAGGCGGACGTGTATGGCTGCCTTGGCCTCCTCTCCATTCCAACCGGTGTGTGTGTGTCTGTCTGTGCGCGCGCGTATGTGTGTGTGTGTGTGTGTGGTTTGAGTTGTGTGTTGGTCTGCGCTTTCTCTTGCTGTAGTTGCGTGTGTGTGTGGTCTGCTTGCACTTTCTCTTCTACATGTACACGTCTTTCCCTCTCGTTGTTGAGACTGACCGCGTCTCACGTCTTGCACAGAGGATGAACGCTGGATCAAGGCCGTTGTGGTTGTGAAGGAGTGCAAGTCGCATGGCCGCCTCCTCAACACGGAGATTTTCCACATCTCTGCTGTCGGTGCGTGAGTGTATGAGTGTGTATGAGTGTGTATGAGAGAGTGTGTACGTCTGCGTGTCTGTGTGTTGCAGTGTCTGCATGATAAGACAACGGCCAATACTCACCCAGCTTTACGTATTCGTGCAGAAATGTTCTTTGTGGGTCCGATGTACTCGTCGGTGGCAGCTTCGCACGCGCGAATCATCAAGCGGGTCGGTGATGCTGACATGTGTGCTTGTGTGAATGCAATCGCACATTGCTCTGGTGTTGCCAACAGCCTACGAGTCAACGCCACTCACCCACTCCAACACACCCACCCACCCACACACACACACACACTCTCTCTCTCTCTCTCTCGCAGCTGTTTGCCAGTGGGTCGTTTTTCTTCTCCATGGATCGCACCGCCTCATCTGCCAGCACCAAGCGCCTTTCAGACTCGTCCCTGCCAAAGAAAGAAGGTGTGCGCGCGTGTGTGTGTGTGTGCGTGTGTGTGTGTGCGAGTGCATCGCAATGAGCGATCTTGCCATTCCCATTGCCGTCGCAGTCTCTGTCCACCATTGCACCTAATGATGGTTTCCAACCACCATCAGCCCTGCAACGTCTTCTTACGCACATACACACACGCACATACATACACACACACACCACTGCAGAGGAGCCCGTGTTTGGGCGGCGCGTCACGTGGAAGTTTGATCTCACCTGTCGCGTCCAGCACACGCTTACGGTGGGGGATCAGGAGATGTGTGCGTGCATGTGTTAGAGAGGACTCGTGGGCACTTTTGCTTCATGCAGGCAACGACGCCGACACACACACACACACACACACACACACACACACACACACACACACACACACACACACGCACAGACGCACACACACACACACACGCACAGACGCACAGACACACACACCTCCTTGCTTTACGCTTGACTAACACCCCCCAACACAACGCGGCATCACAACATCACATCACAAGCAGCAGCGCCATGGCGGGTTCACTCTCGACGACAGCAGCGGTGGCGGTGGGCACGATGACCGGTTCTGGTGGTCGCGGGTGATGTGGAATGAGGTGCAGAAGCACGGTATCAACTGCAAGGCGTGGCTCATTCCTGTCATTCGCGGATCTGTGGAGATGCGCACCGTGTATGTTGGGCCAATCCAAGCAAAGGCCGGTAAGCCGCGCGCGCGCGTGTGTGTGTGTGTGTGTGTGTGTGTCTGTGTGTGTCTGTGTGTGCGTGCGCGCGCGTGTGTCTGTGTCTGTGTGTCTGCGTGTCTGTGTGTCTGTGTGTCTGTCTGTGTGTTCATTTGTGGAAGCGCCTTTGCAGACGGGGACTGTTCATGAGCAACGTATCACTGTTCACATCTTCGTCCTCGCCCCGCCATTCACACCACATTCACCATCCTCAGCCCTCATCTCTCGGCTGTCGTGTCAGCGAGCGGGCACGCGCTTCAACGCACGTGGTGTTGACGACGACGGAAATGCCGCAAATTTTGTGGAGACGGAACAGCTGATTGCCGTGGAGGACCACGTCGTGTCTTACGTCATGACCAGGGGCAGTGTGCCCATCTTCTGGGAACAGGCATCGCAGAACGTACGCTCGTATTTGCACTGCACGCGTGTTTGTTATGTGTCTGCCGTGTGTGAGTTTACAATGAATCAACGTTGTCTACATTAGTACACATCCATGTGTTCACAAACACACGCACATGTGCGCAATCATTCACGCACACACATGTACGCAATCATTCATTCATTCATTCACACACACAATCATTCATTCCTGTTCCACACCACCACATCCTCCCTCCCTCTCCTCATCGCCTTTCAGGTTGGGCACCAGAAGCCGCATCTGACGCGCGAATTTGAGGCAACAAAGCCTGCCTTTGAGCGACACATGGAGCAGCTAACGGCCACGTATGGTCCACAGACGCTGCTGAGTCTTCTCAGCCACAAGTCTGGTGAGATGCTGCTGCAGGACAACTACAGGCGCCATGTCATGTCAAGCATGTTTGTCGACCGCCTCCACCACCTCGACGTCAACGCCATCTGCAAGTGCGTCAGGCATGCGTGTGGGAGAGGGGTGCGTGTGAGTCTGTGTGCGTGTGTGCGTGTGTGTGTGTGTGTGTGTGTCTGTGTGTGTGTGTCTGTGTGTGCGTGTGTGCGTGTGTGTGTGTGTGCATGACATCGTGTGGAGTTTACGCATTTCCACCAACTCTCCCCCACCCCCGTCATTCCCCCCCCCCTCTTGTCCTGGGCTGCGGGTGTGCAGGGGCGGCAACAAGGCAGACCGACTGGCGCCGTACTTGGACGCGTATGGACAGGAACTCCTCGACCACTCGTTCTTCGAGGCCGTCAACGAGGAGGTGGGCGTACATATGTGTGTGTGTTGGGGTGTGTTGACTTGAAGCTGCTGTGAATACACGATGCACTTGTTGTGCTCACGCACACGCCATCACATGCGCTCACACTCACTCACCCATCACTCACTCACTCACCCATCACTCACTCACTCACTCACTCACTCACTCACTCACTCATTCACTCACTCACGCACACACGCACTCACTCACTCATTCACTCACTCACACTCACACACGCACGCACTCACTCACACACTCCCACACTCACACCTGATTACGCATGATCACACTCGCTCACGCACACACACAAACAAACACACACACTCACGCACACTCTCTTTCACGCACACCTGATTACGCATGATCACACTCGCCGGTCCCACCCCACCCCCAGGTTGTGCATGAGCAGACGGGGACGTTTCGCATCAACTGTCTCGATTGTCTGGACCGCAGCAACGTCTGCCAGAGCGCAATCGGCCTCAAGGTTTGGCACTGACACGCATGCATGACGATGATGACGAAGAGGCCGTGTGTAGGTGTGTGCGTGTGCGCGAGTAAGAACATCTGTCTTTCCCAAACACTCACTCACCCCCCCCCCCACTCACACCGCGTTCCCCCTGGACGGCGGTTCAGGTGCTGCAGGAGCAGCTGCTGGCGCTGGATCGCCACACGTCGCTCCGAGACACCAAGATGAGGCAGTTTGAACGATACTTCAAGGTGCGCGGCTCTGTGTGTGTGTGTGTGTGTGTGTGTATGTTGTGTGTGTGTGTTCACGAGGTAGCCGTGTGTGGTGTAAACAAGCGCCTGCTACACCACGTGCACCCTCTCATCAGCCTCACCAACAACAACAACACATACCCTCCTCTCCCACCACTTTCCACACACACCCCCTCTCCCGCAGGACATGTGGTTGCGCAATGGCGACAACCTTGCGCGCTGCGTAACGGGGTCTGGCTCGCTGAGCGGCGGCGCCAAAACATCGCTCTTCAAGGACGTGCAGCGCTCCATCAGCAGGACCCTTCGCGGAAACTTCTTCGACCGCCACCGGCAGGCCGCCATTGACGTCGTCCTCGGCACATACGTGGAGGGTGCGCTGCTGCTGCCTTGGATTGTGTTTGTTTGCGTGTTTGTTTACGTGTATGTTTACGTGTATGTTTACGTGTATGCCTGTCTCTCTTTCTCTGTCTCTCTCTGTCTCTCTCTCTCTCTCCCACTCACTCTCTCACTCACACACACACACACACAAATACACACACACACACACACACACACTCTCTCTCTCTCTCTCTCTCTCTCTCTCTCTCTCTCTCTCTGTGGTGCACGTATACATGGGTTTCACGCCTCTTTCCCTTGTATCCATCCTCTCCCCCCTCCCCTCCTCTCGCTATCCACCACCGGTGCCCATGTCACCGTGCAGACACCAGCGAGCAATATGTTGTGCCGGATCCCACGCTGCGGGTCAAACTGGATGAGGTGTGTTGATGGTGGCGTTGATGCGAGCACTGGTGTGACATGAGTTGAATCGATGCCTCGTGTGCAGTCGTGCTGGTGTTTGTGCATGATAATGAATGCGCACACGTCACCACTCAACAATTAATCATCATCACCACCGCGTCACCATCATCGCCACTCAACAATACCCTTCACCATCACCACCACCATCACCACATCACCACCAGGCCCTCGCTGCGCAGCGGGAGAAGTTCACGACGGAGCTGCCTGCCCGCATTGTCGTCGGCACTTGGAACGTTAACGCACAGAAGCCGTCACAGCTCTCGACCAACCCAACGGTGTGCTTGTTGCTCGTGTGCATGTGTGTTGTGGAAGTGTGTGTTTGCTTGCTTGCGTGTTTTCGTGTTGGTCACTTGTGCGTTTGATATCGCGCCATCGTTTGCATCTTCCACTTAAAAATTCTTCGCAACGACACCCCCCCCCCTGCCTCTCAACTCACATATGCACTCATGTGCACACATGTGCATACACGCGCGTGTCTGCAGAATCCTGGACTGCACGACTGGCTTGTGCAGACAACGGAGGACAGCTCCGCACCGGACATTTTCGCCGTCGGTGCGTGACAGTACACGTGAACGGGGCAGACAGTTGTGTCGAAACGTGCACACACACATACACACAAACACATGATATGTTCATGTACACAGACACATGTTTGCTCGCTCACATTGACAATCATACACACACACACAATACGCATGCACACACATACACACACAAATACATCCCACCCTTCAATGTTGAACACATGTGTCCAGGGCTTCAAGAGATGATTGACTTGAAGGCAAAGAACATGCTTGCTCGCAGCAGCGCCATCGCCAGCGAGTGGGCGGCGCGCATCCTGCAGACCATCGGCAAGGACGAATACTTTCTCGGTGCGGACACGCACCATGTTTGTCTGCCTTTGGTTGTAGTGGCAGTGATGGCGATGATGATGGTGGTGGTGGTGGCGGTGGTAGTGATGGCGATGATGGTGGTGGTGGTACTATCGCTCTGTCTGGTGTTGCTTGCATGTGGTTGTGCTTGTGTTCGTGCGCCCAAGCATGTGCCGCACGCACCCTTTGTTTTGTCGATTCCTTCCCCTTGTCACACACACACACACACACACACACACACACACACACACACACACACACACACACACACACACACACACACGCCAACTCACTCATCCCCGTCACCCGCACCCCCTCCCCGATTATTGTGACTCTCCGTCGTCATCAGTGGTGAAGCAACAGCTTGTTGGCATCTGCGTGTTTGTGTTTGCGCGCACGGATCACAAGCACTGCATTCGTGGCGTTCGCACGCACTACGTGAAGACAGGCGCCGGCGGCAAGGTGACAAACACCATGCATTTTGTGCTGCAATGAGGATGTGGTGCAGTGGGTGTTGTAGTGATGCTCCCTTCTCCATTCGGGCTGCGGTGACGCTGTGATTGAGGACATTGGTGAACGCGCATTGATCACGCCAACGCATGCAGACGGAACACGTGTCAAACACGTTTGTGCTGTGCATGCGGTGCCACTCACACATCCCTGATGGCGCGACGCTTGTGCACAGATGGGCAACAAGGGCGGGGTTGCGATGAGTTTGCGGTTTCACAGCACGAGCATCTGCTTCGTCTGCGCACACTTGGGTGAGCGGATGGCTGCTGCTCGTATGTGGTGGAGAGTGTGTGTGTGTGAGTGAGTGAGTGTGTGAGCGAGTGTGTGAGTGTGTGTGTGTGTGTGTGTGTGTGTGCTTACATGTTGGCTTTAAGCGTGCCTAGCCCTCGGGTGTTGTACTCACAATTCTGCGCATACACACACACACACAGCGGCTGGCAAAGCGCATCTGGAGGAGCGAAACCAGGACTACAACGACATCACAGCCAAGATCAACTTTGGCAAAGGACGCAAGCTCGGTGGGTTTCGGTGTCGGGAGGAAGACATGGTCATGTGTGGTGAAAGCA